GGTAGGTGTGTGTGTGTTTTCTTTAGTTTATTGCTCTGCACACACTTAGGTTAGCGGTGTACATCTCTTCTTTTTTATATCTGAATCCTCTCTGCAGACCTGGCTGACTGACAGACAGACTGAAGAAGCTTTGATAAAAACACAACTGGTTCTTTAGCTTTTAAATCTCGCAGGGCATAGCAGCCCAAACACAGGAACCAATAACTGCTGCAATACTGCAGCCGTTTGAAGAACAAGCAGACGGGGGATTGTGTGTATGTGTGAGTAAAGATAAGAGAAAAAAATACAGGAAAAGGAGGAGAGAGGTAAAAGACATGGTGGGACTTATATTGAAGGTTATGGGAACTGAAGTTGCAGTGTGAAGGTCAGTGTTTTAAACTCACTAGTGGATGTACAATGACAAGAAAAGACATGTTTTCTTCATCTCATGTGGCTTTTGTTAATGTGTCATTACACAGGGTGCTTAACCCCCAACTGCTCTAATTAAAGTGCTGGGTGACCAAACGTACATGCATGCAGTCATTGTGGCAGATCCCAGCCCCATACAGCTGTTCCTGCAGGCCCGTCCTACAAATAAGATATATGTTGCTGTCTGTTAAAGTTAACTGAAGAATCATCCAGGGAGTTATGAAAGCTGAAAGCCAGTAAATCATTAGCAAAGTATTATAATCGGTATTAAATTATTATAGTCCTTGTAGTGGTTTAGGAAAAATGTGTGATGGCACGTTTGTGTATATCTGCACTTTATGGATGTTTCACGTTAGCGATCTGTTTGGTGTCATAATCATTATTACAGATGGGGATCCATCCATCCATCCATCCATCCATCCATCCATCCATCCATCCATCCATCCATCCATCCAGCCAGCCAGCCAGCCATCCATCCATCCATCCAGCCAGCCAGCCAGCCATCCATCCATCCATCCATCCATCCATCCAGCCAGCCATCCATCCATCCATCCATCCATCCATCCATCCATCCATCCATCCATCCATCCATCCATCCATCCATCTATAGAAAAACAGAAAAATCTGTGTGAGAACTACGTATGTTTATTTCTCTTTAGGTTTTCCAAATCAATAAGAATGTGTAGAAACAAATTAGTTGAAAGAATTTGTTCAAATGTACAGAAATGTGCAAAAGTTCCAGCCGTCCTTTTTAGAATTATTATTTTTTTTTTTACAGATATTAGATTTCTCAATCTTTTACGTAGCCATGATCCACTTTTTGCAAGCTGGGTATTATTATTATTATTATTATTATTATTATTATTATTATTGTGAGTTAGTTTGCTGTGGCGACCCCTGAAGAAGGGAACAGCCGAAAGAAGAAGAAGAAGATTATTATTATTATTATTATTTAGCTTTGACCAATGTTTACACTACTTTTTATCTAGTCTTTGTGACTGACTTTTATTCATAAGTATTACCCCCCAAAAAACTATTGCAATAGTCCATCGCTACTTTGCGGTTCATTTATTGTGGACTCGCTCTATCACGGTTTTTCAAAATAAGATTGGACATGACACACAATTGACTGACTGATGGATGAGCCACATGATGGTCATGGAATTTTTATTTAAAATATATTATTTTAAATTATTTAGCACCTCCTGCACCTCTGTGCAGCCCAGTCCATACTGTAGGATAAACTTCTCCTGCAGCTGATCAGCTGATTTCCATGCAGAATGGCAAAGTGGGTGTGGCCAAGAGTGCTTGTAGTTGGCAGAGTGTGGTTGGAGGCAGGTGGCTGAAATCACGACATTGTGTGCTCTTTTAGAGCGTTTAGAGTTTAGAAACATTGTTTAGAATATTGCAAGTGTGGGAAGGGTACTAAAATAAACTACTACTTGTACTACTATCCCTACTTCACAGTTTTTCACTTATCGCGGGGCTTCAGGGTACAGATCCCCTGTGATAATCGAGGGACTACTGTGTACTAAACCGAATATTTTTAAAGCTGTAACAGTTCCAGAAAAGTAAAGAAAAACAAAGGAACATTTTTTTTTTTTCTCTTTGTTAAATCTACCCAAAAGGCCAAAATAACATTAGTTTTTCAGGTTTAAAACTGTAGTTTTGTATCAACATAAAAAAAAACCCCACAAACCGACTTATGGGGGCTGAGATGGTGTAGAGGCAGGGCAGCCAACTCTGGACCCAAAAGTCCCAGGTTCGATCCCCAGTCATTGCACATGTCATGTTGTCTCTGAGCAGGACACCCTATCCCCCAAAAGCTCCCCTGATGCCTTCAATAGCTGCCCACTGCTCCACCTGGTGGTGGATGGGTTACATGTAGAGAGCCAATTTTGCCATTGTATGGGAACATACAATGATGACAATACATAAAACACATTATTATTATTATTATTAGTCAAAAACTTGACATCCAGTCGATGATTGTCTGAAGGATCATCAATCTTTCAGGTCCTTTCATGTCTCTGCTGCGTATTGTCCTCTCTTATTTCTGTAAAACATGATTTTATGTTTTTATTTGTTTACTACCGGTAAGTCTGCAGGCTGCAGACTGATGGTCTTCCGCATGGAAGACGAAACGTTTCTCCCTCAAAGAAACTGGTCCAGATGACATGATTTATCCTTTTTTGTTGTTACTAATAATATTCTTTTTGTCCTCTGATTTGACCAACAACTGTTCCATTTCAACATTTCTCTAATTATATAAAAATGTTGGTAGTAATCACCAGGTTAGCATAAACTACTGTTTTATATTGTATCTTGGATCTTTTTTTAAATGGATGCATCTAAAAAAAAAAAGAAGGAGCAAAAGGAAAGGAAGTAATTGATAACAGTCTGATAAACTAAACCAACTGCCTTTAGTGAACTAAAGTCGTGATTGGTTTGCATAAAAACTGTCTTAAAAATATTCATTATTCACAGTAGTGGCAGCTATTTTTCTGTTGATTGTCTGATGAAACAGCGAGTTGTCTCAGAATTTTAGCGGACTGTATCATGCGCCCATTTTTTTTCCTTCCATACTTGTGCCAAATACAGTACGATCTTATTATGGAGGCCGTGAGCATTTTTCTCAGCGAGGTTGCCACATGTGTTGCATTTGACACTCAAACTGTGATGGTGACAGCACCACAATAACCTCACCCCAGCACTTTTCTCAGCTCTATTAGCTCCCATTAATTTCACAGCATCAAACACATTCATGCATTGGTGTTGTGAATAGCTACACAAAATGACAGCTTTTACATCAACAAATAGAATTTGCTCTGGAAGAAAAAAATTTGACTTGGTATAACACAAGTCGACTACTTCCTTTTCATACCTACAGTCAGTGGTAGTTTGGCGGATAAAAATAGACCCCAGTGGGGTCCAACCATTCAGCTTTATTACTCCAGACTAACAAACAATATTGTGTTTTTAGCAGACAGATATATAGAGCTTTGTGCTTTTCATGGCCACATTAATAAACATTCTCTAAAATCGAATTAATACGGCATAAGCGTCACAACAATTATATGTGAAGGGGACGTTTCCCACCCCCAAATTAAAAAAATTATTATTCGGAACCCCCCTTCCCCATACCCCCACACACCCCACCCACACACATTTACCATGAAATTTTAGTTCACTCACCACTGTTTCTATTTCTTTGACAAATCCATGCCACTTGATTCATAGGAGAATCCTCAAACCACTAAAAGTCCACTCCAGGTTTTCTTGGGTACCTACAACAACTCCACACCACATGTAATGTTTCTCCGAGGTGATCTTCCTTGGCAGGGTGCCCATGGGGGGAGGAATGGGACACACATCTGTTTTACGAGCTAGCTTATCTCCATGTT